ATAAGCAATCTTAAAATCAAGTTAAATGGGAAGATAGCTATAGGCAAGTACAGGGCTTTCCAAAAGTCTTAGTGCATTTTTAAGCTATTAAGGCTTTAAAATGCACTAAGGTTTTTGAGACATAATCCCCCCCTCCTTTGTATACGTACACATATACAAAAGGGGGTATCTGTGTGTATATATGTATGAACGAAATTTACATCTCTATATAAGGAGTTATACTGGGGAACAGGGTTTAAGCCTCTGTAACCATTTTAACTGCATATTCAGGAAGCAGCAAAATAACAATTTAGTCAGATTTTTCTTTTTTCATTACAGTTTAGACTCATATTGGTCAGTGAATACTAATTTATTTGTTTATTTATTTCTTGGCTAGGCAATGGGGTTAAGTGACTTCCCAGGGTCACACAGCTAGTAAGTGCTATGTGTCTGAGGCCGCATTTGAACTCAGGTCCTCCTGAATCCAGGGCCAGTGCTCTATCTACTGCGCCACCTAGCTGCCCCTGAATACTAATTTATTAAGCACCTATTCTGTGCCAAGCCCTGTGTTAGTAGTGGGGAGACAAATAAAGTGCAGTCCCTAGTCTAATGATGGCATTAACATGAAGATATCTATGTACAAACAAGACATATAAAGAAATCAGTACAGGGAACCCACTAGCATTAAGGCAGAATCAGAGAAGCCTTCTGGTAGAAAATGGGATTTTAACTGGAACTTGAAGGAAAGCAGGCAAGTCAGGAAGCAGAGATGAGGAGGGAGAGCTTTCCAGGCACAAGAGACAGCCAGTGAGTGAAAATGCTTGGAGTCTGGCTATGGATAAAGTATCACAGGACTGCAGAGTAGGTGGCAGAGTAAGGTGGTAACGGAAATTCCCTGATGTCTCTAGAAAAATATGAGGGGGTGAAGCTGTGAGAGCTTTTGAGTGCTAAACAGAGGACTTCATATATTGATTGTTGAGGACATAGGGAGCCACTGGAGTTTATTGAATGGGGGTGTGTGACATGGTCAGATCTGTGCTTTAGGAAGAATAAATTGACAGCTGAGCGGAAGGTGGACTGGAGTGAGGAGAGACTTGAGGCAGAGAGACCAAAGAGAAGACTACTACAATAAGTCCAGGTGTGAGGTGATGAGAATCTGGAGAAGGGTGCTGGCAGTGTCAGATGAGAGAGGAAGGGGCATATAGGAGAGAGGTTAGAAAGGTGAAACTGACAGATGTTGGCAACAGACTGGATGTGAACAGTGAGAGGAAATAAGGAACTGAGGAGGACACCTAGGTTGTGAGCCTAGGTGACTGGGAGGATGGTGGTGCCCGTGATAATATTAAGAAAGTTCAGAAGGGTGGAGGATTTGGGAGAGAAAGATAAATGAGGTTCAGTTTTGGAAATGTTGAGTTTAAGATGTCTACAAGACATCCAGACTGAGATGTCCAATAAGCAGTTGGAGAAACAAGTCTAGAGGTTAGGAGAAAGGTTAGATCTGGAAAAGAAGATAAGAATCATCAGCAGAGAAGTGATCATTGAATCCACTGGAGCTGATGATAAGACCAAATAAAATAGTATAGAGGGAGAAGAAAAGAAGATAGAGCCAAGATGGAAGGGGGGGAGAGACACCCTCCTTCAATGGGCATGACGTGGATGAAGATACAGCAAAGAAGATTAAGAAAGTATGGTCAGATAGGTAGGAGCATAACCAGGATTGAGCAATGTCAGAAGAATTGGAAAGAAGAGAGCATCAAGGAGAACAAGGTCATGTATAGTGTCAAAGACTACAGAGAACTCAAGAAATATGATGGGTGAGAAAAGGCCACTGGATTTGGCAATTAAAGGGTCAGTGGAAACTCTGGAGAGAATAATTTCAACTGAATGAAGTTGGAAGCAAAAGTGTAGAGTTAAGAAATGAGTGAGAGGAGAGTAAGTGAAGGTACTTATTTTAGATGGCCTTCTCAAGGAGTTTAGTCATAAAAGGCAGGAGAAACATGGGATAATAGCTAATAGGGCTAGACGGATCAAGTGAAGGTTTTTTTGAGGATGAGGGGAAAACGGGCATGTTTACAGCCAGTAGGAAGTAGCCATCATACAGAGATTAGACAGGGAGAAATTGCAGCTAAATGAGAGTGGGAATAATAGAAGGCGGAAATCTGCTGGAGAAGACAGGAGGGAATGGGATTGCTTTGGCATGCAGAAGGGCTTTGCTGTGGCAAGGAGAAAGGACACCTCCAAAACAAAGGTGAAGGAAGACAACAGCAGAAGGTATCTGGGTGATGTGAAGAGGAGGGAAGAAGAGAGAGTTCTCAATAAATAATTTAAATTTTTTCAATGAAATGAGACAAGGTTCTCAGCTGAGATGGTACAAAAAGGGGGAGTCAAAGGAGTTTTGAGGAAGGATGGAAAGTTTGGAAAAGCAGCTGTAATGAGGGGAAAATGAGTTAATTAAGAAGATGTAAAAGGACTGCCTTGATGCAGTGAGGGGTCAGTTGAGATTAAATCACATAAATCTGTGCAGTCCACAGGGTTTCATTATTTTCTGAAACATTATGCAGTAGCATGTAAGTAGAAGTGGGGCAACAGATGATGGGAACAAAACCAAGGCTTAAGTTTTTCAGGACAAGACTGGCAGCTAAGGAGGCATGGGACTGGAGAGAATAAGGCAGTGCAGAGCTGAATTGATTCACCAAGACATTAAGATAAGAAAGGGAAAAGAAGGTGAGAAATGCAGGGTGATAACATGGGAAAGAACTCCAATTTGAAATGTCTAATAGGCAGTTTGTGATATTCATCCTACAAGAAGGTATGTTTGCTCATTTATTTGAGATAGACAGATTGTCAATCTTGCTAAGGATATATTTCTGAAACTGAACAAAAATGACAAAGCTTAGTGTGCATATGAATTTGATGACCCCTTGTAACAACTCTATTTCCCTCCTATCACCAGGGGTCTGAGGCCTAAGGCTGGGAAACAATGTATTAGTTAATGATCTATTCCTATTAACAAATTTTAAGTCAGATTAACTTGCTACAGACAAGTTCCTGGGTATATTTATCCTAATACAAGATACTCCTACAGGGAGAATACCTGAATGCACTGACAGTCAATACATATTGGAAGAGGAAGACCATTGGGAAATGACTCAATTCCAGGGACATAAGAACCTAGCTACTTTTTTTTTTTCAGGAAGCTACACCATTTGTGCTTATTACCCATAGTTTCTCATTATATCCTGTTATTTACACCTCTATTTATGCAAACAGTGATATGAATTAGATTATTCATGTTCGCTAATGCCAAATAACTTTTTTATTTACTTTAAAGACTTCCCTGATGTCTCTAGTTGCAAATCCATTCTCCTTAAATTACTTTGCGTTATACTTGCATGTTATATTTTCCTAGAAGAATGTAAACTCATTGCAGGATGGGGAAGATTTCATTTTTGTCTTAGTATCCTCAGAGCTCAATTCAGTACCACAGTACACAGTAGGTATTTACCAAATGTTTGCTGAATTTGAACTGAATGCTCTGATCATAAAAAATGCATATTTAATTGTTACTAAAATAAAATGGCAAATTGCATTCTTAAGCTGTTTTTGCACAGCTTATTGAAAATGTCTTAATGATGTTTTATACTATGTTTTAAATGATAAAATCTTGAGTTAAAATAACCCTAAGATCATCTAGTCCACCCCCATCCTTATGCAGGAAAAGAAAACTGAGGCATAGAAAAGTAAGTGACTTGCCTAAAGTTATAAAGGTAATAAGGAGCAGTGTTAGGATTTGACCTCATATCCTCCGATTCCAAATCCAGTGCACTGCAGCAAGGACGCCTCGTGATATATTAATTTAAAATCCAACCAATGTATACTTTTTAATCAGAAAGAAGACCATATTTGGATATAGCTTTAAATTTTCTGCCTGAAACATTAACACAAATTTGCATGTGAACAAAGATAAAGAATAAAGGTTATACTTACTTCTCTAATTATTAGCATAAATAGAAAAAGTTAAACAACTTGCTTCTATTTAGTTTTTTTGTAATTAATATGCACATATCACATTTAATAATTACGAAAGGCTCTACCTTCATTTTCTTAGTAACTAGACAAGCTAGGTTATTACTTGATACCATCAAAAAATAGAACAAACTTCTCCAGAAATTATGTTGAAATCTGCATAGAAGTACCGCAGTTCTTTTCTACTTATTGCATTTCTCACCAGCATTTCTCACCATGCTTTCTGTCCAATAAGATATTGTCAAGCACCCAATAGCTGAATTAATGTCTTTCTGTTAGACTTAGTAGAAGAGATATCCTGAACTCACAAGTCTAGAGATGAGGGAAAAGGTTGGCTTACTGAAGTGACACTGCCAGGAAGCTGAGAATAGGACCCTTAATTACTCTAGGCAAACCCAGCAGAGAGACATGCAAGAAGCCAGCACTATTCCAGTAGCAAGAACAGCTGCATGCTCCTTCCCCCACTGAAGCATCATATTCCACTCAACTATATGTGTAGCAAGAGCTAAGAACTACAAATACAATCTAAAATTAAACTATTAAATTAATTGTATATTTAACTCTTAAAGATCTAGCCCAAATCTGAAAAACATATACAGACAAAACAAAACCAAACCAGCATCTTAATATTATAGCTCTAAAGAAAAAAAAACAACCATTTACCCCACCACTACCCCCCCAAAACACCAAATTTATATAGTTAATAGAAGGGGAAAATATCCAGCTTAATTAATGTATTTACTTCCAGAAGTATTATTTTCAGCAAAAGATAGTAAGCTTTAAATAACTACGTGTTGTCTTCTGATATGGTTTTGTTATGTTTTGTAAAGGTAACTGCATAAGAAAATAGTGCGGCCCTATGGGGCTTTATTTAAGTGGATAACTATTGTTATTAAAATCAGCATATATCCTAAAACAATATTTAATAAAGATTAATATATTTTATGTAAGTAAAATTAGCCTAAAGAAACATTTTTGACAATGTTTTTACTCACCAAAATGCAGTCCACTTTAGATTGTACAGTTTTGCTAAAAAGAAGGGAAAAAAGTTAAATTAATCACTGTGATACACTTGTTGACTTTTAACTATAATATTACAAAGCACATATACATGTCTGTGTTTTGCTTGCTGCTGATGAAACAAAGACATGTATTTTTCCTATCAAAAAATCCAAATGTAAAAAAAAATCTGGAATCTCTTAGATTTTTTTCTACACACAAAAAGGGGGAAAAACAATCATTACCCACTTACATGTTTCCCAGTTCTAAAAAAAATATAATTACAACCTCACAATTTATCAGAATTACCTACATATTTTCTAAGTACAACATGATTCCACATCCCACCATTCACTTAGCAAATGCATCAACTTCTGGGTATTAACATCAAAAGATGTTCTGAAGAGTTATTCATACCTTGTTAAAGGGGAAGTAAGTGTTGATAAAGTATCATATTCAGAACTAAGGATATAGGACATATATTATAAAATTATAATTTTTACTACCTGCCTATTACTTCAGATGATGACTTCCTTTGAATTTAAAAACAAGAAAACAATGTAATTTTGAATCTGGAAATTTTTTACAAAATAGGTTAGAAAAATAAAAAAGAATAATTAAACATTTTTACAAATAAAAAAGTATTTAATACTCAGAAAAATTAGATAATTTAATAAACTTAAGAGGTGAATATGGCAATTTATAGAGGTTTTATTACATAGGTAATTTCCTACATATTACTAAGTTGGAAACATGAAAGTGATAAATTATATACAAAATTCTGCTTGTTCTGTCACTTTAAAAAAAAAACTGTTGGCCCATTTAATGTGTAGTTGGATGGACAATGTATAGAACCGATCCATCAGTACACATACAAAATCACATAGCTGACAAGAGCTTGAAGGGACCTCAGAGGACATCTAGCACAACCTAATCTTTCTACAGATGAGTAAACTGAGGCCCAACAAGAGTAAGTGCCTTGCCCAAGGTCACACAGATAATAAACATCAGAGGAAAGATTTAAATTCAGGTTTACTGCCTCCAGAGTCAGTATTCTTTCCATTGTACCACAATGACACTGTAAATGGACACTGAGCTAAACCCAAAAATGAAAAAGAAGAAACAGAACAGGCAAGATTGTCTCTGAAAAACTGCACAATTGTTTTAATTAATCCAAGTTTTGTGGCTCATCTTTTAATGCGAAGTCTTCCAATAAAATTAAGTAATCAATACTATAGTGTCTGAATTTAAAGGAATGAACTTAAAGATCAATGGAAGGGCTTCAACGCATTACACACCCAGGGAGATGCAGAAGAAGTGGTTAAAAGGATGTCATTAAATAGCACTTCTAGGGCTATATCCCAAAGAGATCATACAAATGGGGAAAGGACTCACATGTACAAAAATATTCATAGCAGCTCTTTTTGTGGTGGCAAAGAATTGGAAATTGAGAGGATGCCCATCCATTGGGGAATGGCTGAACAAGTTGTGGTGTATGAATGCAATGGAATGCTATTGTGCTATAAGAAATGATGAACAGGCTGACTTCAGAAAAACTGGGAAAGATTTGTATGGTCTTATGCTGAGTGAAGTGAGCAGAACCAAGAGAACGTTGTACACAATAATAGCCACATTGTGTGATGACTAATATTGATAAACTTAACCCTTCCCAGCAATACAAGGATCTAAGACATCTCCAGAGACCTCGTGATGGAAAATGCTATCCACATCCAAAGAAAAGAACTACGGAGTTTGAATGTAGATCGAAGCATATTATTTGCTATTTTTTTTTTCTTCTGTTGAGTTTTGTTTCCTCTTTCTGATGGTTCCTCCTATTGGTTTTAATTTTTACTTACAACATCACTAATGTGAAAATATTTTTAACAGGAATACATATGTACAGCCTATATCAGATTGTGCGCTGTCGTGGGGAGGATGGTGAGGAGGAAAGGGGAGAAAAATTTTAAACTCAAAAGCATATGGAAGTGATTGTTGATAAATCAAAATAAATTAATAAAGAAGGAAAAAAAAGAAAAAGGAAAAAAGATTTTAATTACATTAAAAAGACAAAGAAAAAAAAAAGAAATACACAACCACACAAAAAAAAAGTTAGTCACCAAGAACAAGCAGACAGCCTAACTTCTCCACTGATACCAATACACTGGCAAGAGAAGAGGAAGAAAACTATGGATGGACCCCTCAGGCAAATTTCTAAGTCTGAAAGTGGAACAGGATAGGCAGAGAAGAATGGGTCATAATTTGAATTACTAGAGGTAATATACATGAAAGCACAGATCCACTTAAGTTTTAGACTAATGATTCATTAGAGGAAAATACTGCCTTAAAAATTCTCCTACAACATATTTTTCATTCATGTATGAAAATCATACAAGATTTCTTGCATGATATAATGTAACAGAAATAATTTTGGGACAAATTACTAACAAGTGAGACACAAAATAGGTAATTAAAATGTGTATATCCTTATTTTCATATCAGCTTCCCTTCTTTTTTTATTTAGTATACAATAAACTCCAAGTTACTTTCAAAATTGTCCTGCTTATCTATGCTTTCTTCTGTTCTCTTATATGGATTTAAAAAAAAAGTTTCAATTACTCTCTTTTGTTTGGCATCACTTGTTAATGCCCTTCCAAAATCACGACCCCAATTAAAAAGGCCCGGGGGGGGGGCGGGGAGGAAAAGAACCATGACACACTGACAGCATTAGTTATGTGCATAGGTATACCTTGTTACAAATAAACACAGTCAAGCAAAACAAATCCACACTACTCATGTCCAAAAACGTGTGTATCCATAACCTTTCTGACAGGAAGTGGGCAACATATTTGATCATCATCTAGAGTCATGTCTAGTCATTGCTTTGATCAAACTCTTAAATCTTTCAAAGTTGTTTTTCTTTACAATATTGTTATCTTTATATAAATTGTTTTCCTAGTTCTGCTCATTTCACTACCTCAATTCATACTCCCCAGGATTCTCTAAAATCATCTTTCTTTTTTAAAAAGTTTATTTTTAATTTTCAACATTTACTTCCACAAGATTTTGAGTTCCAGATTTTCTCCCCATCTCTCCCTTCCCCCCAACCTCAAGATGGTGTGCAGTTTGATATATTCATATTGAACCCATTTTCACATTAGTCATGTTGTAAAAAAGAATTAGAACCAATGGGAGAAACCATGAGAAAGAAGAAACAAACCAAAAAAAAGGGGGGAAAGAGCAAATAAAATGCTTTGATCTGCATTCAGACTCCACAGTTCTTTTTCTGGATATGGACAGCATTTTCCATCATGAGTCCTTTGGAGTTGTCTTGGATCCTTGCATTGCTGAGATGAGTCTATCAAAGTCAGTCATCACACATTGTGGCTGTTGCTGTGTACAATGTTCTCCTGGTTCTGCTCACTTCACTCAGCATCAGTTCATTCAAGTCTGAAATCATCTCTTTCTTACAGTGCAATAATATTCCATTACATTCAGATGCTACAATACATGCAACCTTTTTCCAACTGTCTAATAAGCAATCTAAGGCATCCCTTTAGATTCTAATTCTTTTCTCCACCTCCTATCCTCTTAGTCTCCTCTTCAGGACCAGGAATTTTGTTTTTCTTGTTACTATTCCCTCCCCAGTATTATCTTCCCTTTTAATGATCCCTCTCCTTCCTCATACCAACTTGATTCCCTGTTGAGTTTTTGTATTTCTATACAAAACAGTATGTGTTCAAGCTTCCTTTACCTATTTTGGACAAGAGCAAAGTTTAATCTAATGCTCATGTACCCTACCCCTTCTTACATGTTTGTATATTCTGTGTTTTTTTTTCTAATATAAATTTATTTATTTTTAGTTTTCAATATTCACTTCCACAAGTTTTTGAGTTCCAAACTTCTCACTCCTCCCACCACACCAAGATGGCATGCATTCTGAATACCCCTTCCCCTGGTCTGCCTTCTCTTCTATCTCTCCCCCCCCTTCTCTTATCCCCTTCCCCTTCTATTTTCCTGTAGAGCAGGATATACTTCTGTACCCCATTTCCTGTATTTCTTATTTCCCAGTTGCATGTGAAAACCTTTTTTTTCAAAAACATGTGTTTTTAAAACTTTGAGTTCCAAATTTTCTCCCTTCCTCCCTCCCCACCCACCCTCATTGAAAAGGCAAGCAACTCAATGTAGGTTGTACATGTGCAGTTTTGCAAAACACCTCCTTAGTAGACATGTTGTGAAAAACTAACTCTATTTCCCTTAATCCTATCCTGCCCTCCCATGTATTCTATTCTTTCTTTTGACCCTGTCCCTCCTCAGAAGTATTTGCTTCTGATCACTCACTTTCCTAATCTGCTCTCCTCTCTATCATCCCCCTGCTCTCTTGTCCCCTTCTCTCCCTATTTTCCTGTAGGGTAAGACAGATTTCCATACCCAATTGAATGTGTATGTTATTCTCTCCTTAAGCCAAATCCTATGAGAATAAGATTCCCTCATTCCCTCTCACCTTCCCCTGTTTCCCCTCCACTGTGAGAGACTTTTCTTTTCTGTTTTTTTTTTGTGAGATAATTTACCCTGTTCTACCTCTCCCTTTCTTCTCCGAGTATCATCCTCTCTCATCCCTTAATTTTATTCTCCAGATATGACCCCTTAATCTTCAACTCACCCTGTGCCCTCTATCTATCTATATATACAACTACATACAATTTTTTTCCTTCAACTACCCTAATACTGACAAAGTTCTCATGAGTTACAAATATCATCTTTCCATGCAAGAATGTAAACAGTTCAATCTTAATAAGTCTCTTATGATTTCTCTTTCCTGTTTGCTTCTTCATGTTCCACTGGAGTCCTGTATTTGAAAGTCAAATTTTCTATTCAGCTCTGGTCTTTTCATCAGGAATGCTTGAAAGTCCTCTATTTCACTGAATGACCATTTTTTCCCCTGAAGGATTATACTCAGTTTTGCTGGGTAGGTGATTCTTGGTTGTAATCCTATCTCCTTTGCCCTCTGGAATATTATATTCCATGCCCTG